TATCACTGCATGCAAGAGTCTGATTTCATGTTAGTGTGAGTTTATCCAAATACACTGTACTTCAATAGGAAGATGGTGGTATACTGTTAATGCCACTGAACTAACAAGTTACAACTTCTGGGCTAATGTTCTGTGGACCTGGGTTCAAATCTCACCTTGGCAAATGGTTACCAGATGGATGGTTGCTTAGTTCACAATAAAAAGTGAGTATAGTTGTGACCTTATAAACTGATCTGTTTCACTAATGTCCTTTAAAGTCTGTTCCTGGTCTGGCCTACATCTGATGCCAGACCCATAACAATGTGGTTGACTCTGGGTAATTAGGGATAGACAATAAATACTGCCCTGTAAAGGAAAAACAAAAAGTAGATGTCATCAGTTAAAGTCAATCAACAAGTGGAAGTTGACTTGCATTGAGAGTCTCATTATTGATTCTTTCAATCTCTAGTTCCCCAACTTTCTAAGGTCAATACATTTCTTTAATTCTGGACTCTTGAGCATCCTTTAATCACCCCATCATTGTTGACTATTCCTTCAGTTAGCACTGAAAATCTCCTCCAAACCTGTTGACCCTGTCCCTTCCTTCAGCATAGTCTTTAAAGCATTTTAAATAAGCTTTAGGTCACCTAGGCTGACCTAACAGGCTCCCAGAAGCTAGGATCAATAAATGTGGAGCTGGAAAAGCACAGCAGGTCAGGCAGCATCTGAGCAGGAAAGTTAACGGTTTGGGCTGAAACCCTTCATCAGGACCAGTCTTGACACAGGGTTTCAGCCCGAAACGTTGACTTTCCTGCTCCTCTGATGCTGTCTCATCTGCTGTGCTTTTCCAGCTCCACATTTATTGACTCTTGACTCCTTTCGTGGCTTGGTGCCAAGTTTTATTTTATAACGTTGTTTGTACAATTAGCAAGAGAACCAGGAGACAGCAGAGGAGGTCTTTTTTAAATGTGGCAAGCTGTGATGATTTGGAATGGTTTGGCTGGAAGATTAGTGGAAGCAGCTTCCAATGGAGGTTGGATAGATATTTGAAAAGGAAATATTTGTGTGTATCAGGAGGAGATGGGTTTGAGATCAATTAGACAACTCTTTGCTGGAAGACTCTATAGATTTGATTAATAGTTTTAGCTTGTTTGATATGACCTTGCTGTTTCCATCTTCTGGCACAGATGAGAGTTCATTAGTGACAAGTCATGCAATGCCAGGTGCAGTACATTGTAGTGAAAGAGTGACATAATTCCATTCACAGCATGTAAGAACGGACCTTTAGGTTCACACAAGATATGAGTCTGCCTTTTGAAACTGCATCTTGCTGTGAACATGAAGAACGAGAGTTGGGAAAGAGCCCAGCCTGTCAAATTGATATTCCAATGACCTGTTGGCCTGAATGACTAGAGAACCTGGGGTTCTTTTCAGTGCAGTGAAGGTTGAGGGAGACTTAACAGAAGTGCTCAAAGTGACAAGGGTTGCGGAGAATAAATGAAGAGAAGCTATTTCCACTGTTAGGAGGCTCAGTACCTGGGAAACATAAAAACACAGGAGGAAGAGATGAGTTTTTCTTTCTCTCGTGAATTATGATGTTCTGGAATTCATTACCTGAAAGAACTGTGATGGAAGATTCAGTGTCAAATTTGGAAAAGAGAAAATTTGCAAAGATATTGGAAAAGAACATAGGGTCATAGGGTTATACAGCAGATATGTCTGGTATGTTTCTCAATCTCATTCTCCTGACTTCTCCCCATAACCCTTGATCGCTTACTAATCAAGAAATAACTGATCTCTATCTTAAATACACTCAATGACTTGGCTTCCACTGCCTTCTGTGGTAATGAGTTCCACAGATTCACCACCCTCTGGCTGAAGAATGTCCCCCCTCATCTCAGTTCTAATCGGTTGTACCTTCGTTCTGAGGCTGCGCCCTCAGGTCCTAGTCTCTCCTACTTGTGGAAACATCTCCACATCCTCTCTATCCAGGCCTCTCAACATTTTGTAAGTTTCAATCAGATGCCCTCTTATCCTTATAAACTCCATCAAGCAAATGACTCAGCGTCCTCAACCGCTCCTCATATGACAAACCTTTCACCCCAAGGATCATTTTTTGTAAACCTCCTATGAACCCCCTCCAACGCCAACACATCCTTCCTTAGATACAGGGCCCAAAACTGTTCGCAATATTCCAAATGTGGTCTGACCACAGACTTGTACTGCTCAGGCTGTGTATCTCTGCTCCTGAAATTAATGTGAACGTTGCATTTGCCTTCTCAACTGCCAAATGAATCCACATGGTTGGGCAACACGGTCGCTCAGTGGTTAGCACTAATGCCTCGCAGTGCCAGGGACCCAGGTTCAATTCCAACCTTGATTGTCTGTGTGGAGTTTGCACATTCTCCCCATGTCTGCCTGGGTTTCTGCTGGGTGCTCCGGTTTTCTCCCACAATCCAAAGATGTGCAGTTTAGCTGGACTGGCCATGGGAAATTGCCTATCGTGTCCAGGGATGTGCAGGCTAGGTGGATTAGCCATGGTCATGGGGATAATTTGGGTCTAGGTATGGATGGGATGCTCTTTGGGGCATCATTGCAGACTCAATGGGGCAAATGGCTTCTTTCCACACTGTAGGGATTCTATATCAACCTTAAGAGTATCCTGAGCCAAGACTCCCAAAGACCTTTTGAGCCTCAGATTTCCGAAGCCTTTCCCCATTTAGAAAATAGTCTACTCCTCCATTCTTCCATCAAAAGTGTATAACCTCACAATTTACCGCATTATATTTCATCTGTAACTTATTTGCCCACTCCTTCTGCCTAACCAAGTCCTTCTGTAGTCTTCCCACTTCCTCAACACTACTTGTCCCTCCACCTATCTTCGTATCATCTGCAAACCTATTGCATCTCTAACTTTTCTCAGTTCTGATGAAAGGTTAACTAAAAGCTAAAAACTCTTCATCCAGAAAGTGGCACGCCAGTGGAATTCTCTGCCACAGACAGTGATTGAGGACAAAACCATTAATGTTGTCAAGAAGGAATTAGATATAATTCTTAAAGCTAAAGGGATCAAAGGGTATGCAGTGAAATGGGAACAGGTCACTGAATAGGATCAGTCATGATCATATTGAATGGCAGACCATGCTTTAAGAGCTGAATAGACTCCTCCTAAAGTCACAGTCATAAAGGACAAAAGAGTCTATACCACCCTGTCTACACTGATCCCACTTTCCTGCTGTTGACCCATAGCATTGAATGTTTTGACATCTGAAATGCTCATCCACATATTTTTTAAAAGGCAAAGAGCATTGGACCATGAGAGGCAGGATAAGAATCTATCAATCTCAGCCTTAGATATACACAAGGACTCTGTCCCCACAGATCTCTGTGGCAAGAAGTTCCAAAGACTCACTGTTTTCTGGAAAATCTCAATAGTCAGATACAATTTCTCTTTTGCGAAGCCATGCTAACTCTGTTTGATTAGATTGTGAAGTGATGGGGTTGTGAAGTTTCCTACCTCAATTACAGTCCCAGGCAGAGCATTCCAGATTCTCACCAACTTTTTTTGGGTAAAAAAGCTTCTCCTCAAAATCCACTCCTGCTCCTTTTCTGTGTGTCATAGTCATACAGTTATCAGCATTGAACGGACCCTTCAGTCCAACTTCTTCATGCCGACTAGATATCCTAAACTTATCTAGTCTCATCTGCCACCATTTGGCCCATGTCCCTCTAAACCCTTCCTATTCACGTACCCATCTGGGTCTCTTTTAAACATTATAACTGTACCAGCCTCCACTACTTCCTCTGGCAGCTTGTTCCATACATGCACCACCCTGTGAGAGAAAAAAATTACCCGTCAGGTCCCTTTTAAGTCTTCCTGTCTCACCTTAAACTTCTAGTTTTGGACTCTCTTGTACCCTGGGAAAAAGACCTTGGCTATTCACCCTATCGATGCCCGTAATGACTTTTTAATCTGTATAGGTCACTCCTCAGCCTCTGACACTCCAAGGGAAAATAGCCCCAGCCTATTCAGCCTCTCCCTGTAGCTCAAACCCTCCAATCTCAGCAACATCCTTGTAAATCTTTTCTGAATCCTTTCAAGTTTAACAACGTCTTTCCTATAGCTGGGAGACCAGAATTGAATGTGGTATTGTAAAAGTGGCCTATGTTTCTATGAATCAATTGTTTTGCCCTGCCCCTGTCTTTCTGTCTCAAAGCTTTGTTCACAGCTACATCTAAGGTCCTACAGCACAAAGCAGCCCTTCAGCCCATTGAGTCCACACCAACCTATGTATAGGTTGAACCCTTCAAGTTTCACAACATCTTTGCTAAAGCAGGGAGACCAGGATTTAAGATAACAAGGGATAGAGCTGGATGAACACAGCAGGCCAAGCAGCATCAGAGGAGCAGGAAAGCTGACATTTCAGGCCTAGACCCTTCTTCAGTTTTCTGAAAGTGCTCTTATGTTTCTATGAATTAATTGTCTTGCCCTGCCCTTTTCTGTCTCAAGGTTATATTCACAAGCTACAACTAAAGGGTAGCACAGTGGCTCAGTGGTTAGCACTAGCACCTCATGGTCCCAGGTTCAATTCCACCCTCGGGCAACTGTCTGTGTGCAGTTTGCACATTCTCCGTGTGTCTGCGTGGGTTTCCTCCGGGTGCTCTGGTTTCCTCCCCCAGTCCAAAGGTGTGCAGGCTAGGTGGATTGGCCGTGCTAAATTGCCCATAGTGTCCAGGGGTGTGTAGATTAGGTTGGTTATATCGGTCTGGGTGGGATGCTCCAAGGGTCAGTGTGGACTTGTTGGGCCAAAGGGTCTCTTTTGCATGAATCATGGAATGCCTACAGTGTGGAAACAGGCACTTCGGCCCATGGAGTCTACACCAACCTATGTACAGGTCGAACCCTTCAAGGTTAACAACATCTTTCCTAAAGCAGGGAGACCAGGACTGAAGGCAGTATTATAAAAGTGGTCTATGTTTCTATCAATTAATTGTTTCGCCCTGTCCCTTTCTCTCTCAAGGTTACATTCACAGCTACATCAGCCCATCATCGGTGTACGAGAGCCGAGGGGAGAGTCTGACAGCGCCCCAGCCCGTCTTCACTAAAGTCGGCGAGGTGTATGGGGAGCCGGAGGGGTTGGGGCTGGGGCCGGACAGCCCTCGCTCGGGGCTGGCGAACGGCTACTTCAGCGGCGAGGCGGCGGTCAGCGAGGGCTACAGCATGGACGCTTTCTTCATCACGGACGGCCGGTCAAGGAGGAGGAGCGGCGGGGCCAGCGGGGGAAGGCAGCCGGGACAGAGGCACCGGTGCGGGGAGTGCGGCAAGACGTACGCCACCTCGTCCAACCTGAGCCGCCACAAGCAGACCCACCGCAGCCTGGATAGCCAGCTGGCTCGCAAGTGCCCGACCTGCGCCAAGGTCTATGTCTCCATGCCCGCCCTGGCCATGCACGTCCTCACCCACGACCTCAAGCACAAGTGCGGCACCTGCGGCAAGGCTTTCAGCCGGCCGTGGCTGCTGCAGGGTCACCTCCGCTCGCACACCGGCGAGAAACCCTTCGGCTGCGCCCACTGCGGCAAGGCGTTCGCCGACCGCTCCAACCTGCGAGCCCACATGCAGACCCACTCGGCCTTCAAGCACTTCCGCTGCAAGCGCTGCAACAAGACATTCGCCCTCAAGTCCTACCTGAACAAGCACTACGAGTCTGCCTGCTTCAAGGGTCCCCAAGAGGGGGAGTCCTGAGACAGAGAGAGAGAGAGAGAGAGAGACAGAAAGAAATGCAAAAAAAATTTGCAACACCTCCTGACTGAGGGGGGTGGAATGAGATAGAACAGAGTCGTGCGAAAAATATAAACGCAAAACCTCCTAAACGTGGAATGAGAGTCGTGCAAAAATATGAATGCAAAACCTCCTTAATGTGGAAATGAGAGATGTGCAAAAATACAAGTGCAAAACCCCCTAAACATGGAATGAAATAAATGAGACGTGAAAAAATAAGAATGCAAAATCTCCTAAATGTGGAAATGAGATAAATGCGAGACCTCCTAAATGTGGGATAGGATAGGAGACGTGCAAAATATAAATTGCAAAATCTTCTAAACGTGGAATGAGATAAATGAGAGACGTGCAAAAATAACAGTGCAAAACCTCCTAAATGTGAAATGAGATAAACGAGAGACATGCAAATAAAAATGCAAAGCCTCCTAAAAGACGAGGAATGACAACTTCTCTCCACCTCAAAGCAATACTTCCTTGAGATTACTTCCTAACATTTTTTTTAATAAATATATGCTGGATTTGCTCTAAGAAAAAGAAAAAACTGCAACCCTCTTTTCAAAGTCGTAGCATGACATAAAGATTATATTTTTTTTGTCATGCACCCACCAGAATCTTTTCTTTAGAACCAGTTCTTTCCACCAGGTTTGGAAGGAGGAACTCACGAAGTGAAAGCACTGGGATCATGATGACTGAGCTGCACAAATAGCTGTACAAACAGGCAGGTGTGTGCACGTGCACAGCTGCACCAGGAACATATATGCCACACCCAAGAATAGTCCCCCAGAACATACTAACAACACATGTGCGACCATGCAGCTGTGCATTAAACATACAGACACATGCATGCGCATGCAGATACATGCACATTGACAAATAGGCATGTGTGCATGCACACATCCATCTGCACACGCACACAGGGACACATATGCACGCACAGGTATACTTTTCCAGAACATGCCAACATCATGTGCTATGCATGCATGCACACACAGACACACACAAAAATGACCTCTGTATTTTTTATGCTGCTCTTTGCTACAGGACGGGATATATTTATTGCATCTTCCACGGCGACTGAATGGTACTCGACTTTTTCAAAAGGGTAATTTTTTTTTCACTGACCTGAAGACAATGCAATGTTTCCGGTGTTTTCCCTAGGATTGGCCCATCAGCAAGTATTATGTGTTAAAGTTGAATATGTTTTGTCAAAAGAAAACTAATACTCTGTGCCATGTTATTTAATTAATGTACAGTAGAATCTACCTACAGTGACCATGTGGGTCCGTTGCCAATATTGATCTAAGCCTCCTGTGACCAAGCAATCTGAACAGTTGGTGCTAGAATCTTGTGTTAAAAAAAGCTAGCTGCTAATTTTCACAGTCAGTAGGACGTTGCAAAAGTCTTCTTTGGGTAGGTATGGAACACAGGATCCCGAACACAAGGTATTTTTCTGCAAGATATATTCATCCAAAGGTAGAATTGATCACTCATAGGAAGGCCAGTGGCTCAATTAGTCCTTAACCAGCCTCCTCAAACTACTTCAGCATAACCTTTTATTCCTCTCTCCTCTACATTCCTTTCAAGCTTCCCCTTAAATCTATGCACTTAAATGTCTCAATTAGTCCTCTGGTACCAGGTTCCACATTTTACTTACTCATTTTCAGCATAAACTCACCCTGAATTCCCTTGTTGGTGACTGTCTTATATTTATCACCCCAAGTTTAAACTCCCCCCACAGTGGAAACATCTTATTTTCAAACCTATTTAATCTCTTCACAATTTACAGGGTCTAGTTTTTAGATTTAGATTTTATTGTCACGTGTACTCAAATACAGAAGTACATAAGTGCAGTGAATGAGTACAATGTCACTACACACGGCGCCATCTTAGGTACAAAGGTACCTAGGTACAAAACAATTTAGGTACAAAGTAGTAAAAGAGAGAACAAAGTTTAAAAAGTTAAGCATCACAGACCATGATAGGATATATAGAAAGATAAAAAAAGGTACTAGTAACATTAAAGTCAGCCTTTGCTGATAGTTGTACCATCTGCGTTCTAATGCCATCCTTATGAAACCTTATTGCACCTTATCCAGTGCTCCTATATCCTCTCCATAACATGGAGATTAGCATTGTGCATAATACATCAAATATATTTTTGCCCTCACTACCTCCCTCCGATGTTCTCCCTATTAAGAGGAAAAGAAGGGCATTTAGATACTCAAACCTCTTCCTCCACTTTGTCAGGTCATGTAACCTGCACCCTAACTATGTGCTCACCTTCATCCCTTAATATGCTATTCTAAACAGATTTAACGTAATTTTCTACTTTTCAATTTTATTCATCTATAAATGATTCTGCATGCTTCATTTCAGTTTTTATAGCCTCCTGGAGTATTTAGTGTTGTAGTGGTAATGTTACTGATTTGGTAATCCAGAGTGCCCATCTAATGCTCTGGGATGTAGTTTCAAATCCCAACAATCCAGCTATTGGCATTTAAATTCAATTAATACATCTGGAATTGAAAGCTAGTCTTAGCAATGGTGATCATAAAGCCATTGCTGTCACTAAAACCCCTTTTGGTTTACAGAGTCCTGTATGGAAGGAAATCAGCTAACCTTATCTGGTCTGTCCTACATATGACTCCCAGACCCACAGCAATGTTTAACTACCCCACCAAATAGCCTAGCAAGCCACTCAGTTCAAGGGCAATTAGGAATGGGCAACAAATGGTGGCCTTGTTAGTGATGCTTATGTCCGTGGAAGAAAAATTTAACTTGCATGCCTTCTTTTAGTAATGTGTCTAGATACCTCTAAATCTCTTTGGTGCATGACCCCATTTTGACTTTTCTGTGAGGAGTTTCTAGTCTCTTTATTCTGCCTATCAAAATGCAGCATTTCCAACTTATCTCATGAAATTCCCTTGTTATTTGAGAGCCCATTCACATCTGTTATTTTGTTTTAGTTCTCCTTTTATGTAGCAGGCACTCTGATCGGGTTTGAATCACTGGTAAAATTATTACCACCACGATGAATATAACTTGTGTGGGTATTTTTCAGATTTCGTAGGATATACTTTAGCCTAACTGCTGAGCCAGTGGTTACCATATGGAATTCACTACCTACTCGATCAGTCATAGCAATCATTTGGGGATGCCTCCTGCATTGCAAATTGTGCTAATATTGACCACACTTTGAAAGTAGGTCATTGGTTGTGAAGTGTTTTGTGGTTCCCCAGGGAGGGTGAAATGTGCTACAGGAATGCAAGTTTTGAATCAATCACTATAACTGGATTCTACTGTATTTGAACATTGTAAAGTATTGTTATGATCATGTATTATTATCGTTGATAACAAAGGGGTGCGCTTTTCATGGAGCAGTGTTTCTGATGGTGAAAAAAGTTCTGTAATTTCCCCATGCTGTGTCACGGAGATGGAATTGACTGGTGTGCATTTTGGTGTTATCCACACCGTACTGTGAACATGCCAACTGAACACCCTTTCCATGAAACTGTGCCCCTTTACTTTTATTGAGCCAATCATCTATGAGCCATGGATTGTTAAACCCTGTGTTGCCAAAGCGCTTGCCACTTTGAAGAAAGAAATGTTTCTTTTAAGTTTACATAACTATTTATGTATTTAACTATTTATGTATTTAACTATTTATGCATTTATTTATTTATTCATGCCATAGGTTTACGAGTCACGAACATCACTGAAACAGCCGGGAGTTTGTTTTGAATTCCTAACAGCTCAGAATTAATTTTTTAAGCGCCATTATGGTTTCTTTTTGTTGTTGTTGCAGTGCAAGGGTCACTTGAGAAAAAAACAATTCGGGGAATTGAGTGAATGTCGATATTGTAAATAAGGCACTACGCTGTATTCCAGCAATAATTTGATGATGCATGGCTTTCCTCCCTCTTCTAGTTTATTATGTCCTCAACAAGAGAATGCAGGTATTGACTGCGGTATTACTTAACAATGGAAATCAGGGATCTGGCAGGGATGGAACAAGCATCTGCAGACAAAGCATTAAGTAGTCTTCCTTTGACTGCAGGATCTGTGTCAGGCTGCTGTTGTGCTTTTTGCCTCACATCATGTCCATAGAAGACTTTGCAGAAGACATGCTGTTGTTCTCTCTTTCTCTCTCTATTTTTCAAAAGTTAGGTTTTACCTCGTCCATTTGGCAATCTGGTTTAAGAATCTATTCACACCTGCGTTCCTCTCATTAACCTCTCTGTAGTACACTGCACCTTTTTAATTTTTGTCCTGTCCACATCCCTCCAAATTTCTCCCCACTTATGTTGAGAAGGAGACTATTCAGCCACTCAGATCTCTTCCGCCACTCCATTAGATCACAGTGAATCTGCATTTTCATTGTATTAGCTCTCAATATCATTGCCTAAACAATGATCAATCCCACTTTCATATTTCCACTACAATGAAGTATTTTCTAGTGTCACATTTCAACAACCTACAAGACGCCCCTGATTCTGGACCACGAGAAGTAGTTTCTCTCTTATCCAGCCCATCAACTCCATTAATCATTTCAAAAATGTGCTGAAGTGGCTGACTTGAGTAAAACAGCTGCATTGTGAAAAGAAATTACGTTCTTCAAGCATGCACCGGCCCAGTGAATCCAAGTAGATGCTTTCATTTTAAAGGGTGTATTGAGCACAGGTCCTATTTACTGGTTCGCAATCCAGGCAAGAACAGGACACTGAGCTGGGATGATTGGCCGTGACCATTTTGAGTGGTGGAACAGGTTCACAGGGCTGAATAGCCTACTCCTGTGCCTATTTTCTATGTAAGATAGAAAACATGGTTGATTTTAGTTCCCCGTGTAGGACTATCACTGTTTCAGATTAGCTGACCCAGCACAGAGAGTGATTTAAATGTCGTCTGTGAGAATCATTTCATTATTCTAATTGAACTCAGCATTATCAAAAACTCCTTTGGCTTTT